CTCGTCTAGAAAATAACTCCAAAGTAAACTCTATATAAATCCTCGTTTCTAACCCATAACACACACAACACTTAAAAAAGCTCAAAGACACTAAGATTAAAAAATGAAGATGTTTAACTCTCCTCAAACCCTAGTACTATTGGCGTTAGCTCTTGTCCTAGCTTTTGCAGTTCCACTGAAAGCCCAAGACGGGCGACAGGACTACCTCGATGTACACAACCATGCTCGAGACGACGTTGGTGTGCCTCATATAAAATGGCATGCGGGGGCGGCGCAATACGCCTGGAACTATGCTCAAATAAGAAAGCGGGACTGTCGTCTCGTTCACTCAGACTCAGGCGGGCGTTACGGTGAAAACTTGGCATGGAGCAGTGGTGATATGTCCGGAGCTGCCGCAGTGAGATTGTGGGTCAAAGAGAAGTCTGACTACTTCCACAAATCGAACACATGTCGTGCTGGAAAACAATGTGGTCATTATACTCAGGTTGTGTGGAAAAACTCGGAGTGGGTTGGGTGTGCCAAAGTCAAGTGTGACAATGGTGGAACCTTTGTGACTTGCAACTATTCTCCTCCCGGTAATGTTAGGGGCCGTTGGCCTTACTAAGTATATGTGTACGCTGACGAATAAAACTTGTCCATAGAGGACGTGTGTGTTTCTATAATTTCAATAAATGATCACCATCTATCAGGATGTGGTGGTTCCTTTGTGTGTTTATGGTTTGTATAATATATATGTTGACATGTTGTGATGGAATAATACAACATGTGGAATCTTGACACCATGATTCAGATTTCCGTGTATGAAATTAACACCGGATATTTTTGTTATATAAACCATCAACAATAGCTAACTATGATTAAAACAGCAATAAGAAGGCACGAACCATGATCTCTTAATTACATGGTGAATTTTAACCACAAGACCAACATGAATTTGTTTTTCATACTACCATGTTTAGTGTTCAATCTGCCTTCTTGTAATATATGTGTTAATACGTTAACTTTATTATCATCAGCCCGGCTCACATGGATACGCCGAAAGTACGACTGTCCAGGACATTTTTTTCTTTTAAAAATTTACATATAAAAAAGTTCCACATATTAAAAAATTTATTATTAATATAAGAACTATACTTCAAAAAGTCCACTTTTTTACAAAAAAAAATATAAAAGGCCCCAAAATTTAAAATAATAACTTTTTAATTAAAAAACCTTAAATTTTTAGAAAAAGTAGTAAAAAAAATATTATTTTATAATAATAGGCAAAAAAAAAATTTTGTCCTAAGAGCATCCACAATAGTAATATATTAGCAAGAGTTCTTGGTTTGGGTAACCAGATGTTGATCATCTTTCTGATGCATCACACAGGACCCATTATTAGCCATATGTCTAATGAGATTGCAAATGAAGCTCTAAACTTCATATGTACGCTGCTGCCGGATCATGATTTCTACGGTATATGCGTACCTTGGATTCAACAGGTACATCTTCAAATCTTTTACAATTTCTAAATGATGTTTAGTCTTAACCCCTTTCCCTCTCTCTTTGCAGCTGGTAGAAGTGCTTTTAAAAGGTGGTTCAGAGATGTTTGAAGTTCCAATGGAGTTGAGGTACAATTTCTTGTACAACTTTCAAATGGCATGTCCGAGTCCGACGATGGATACACCGGACCAGCTCGTGGTGCAGTTGGCAAGTGCTTGGGATATCGAGGTGATTTAACGTGAGCTTGTGATTGATTTTTCTTTTGTTTGTTTCTTCTATTAAGAGTTTTCTTAAGCATGTTTAAGCTACGTTATTGTTGAAGAGCATGATCTCGACTTCTAAAGCTGTTTAATTTCTCATCCACTAATCATCAAGAAAATTCACAGAATGTAGATACTATCCAAGATATTATTATTTGTGATAAACTATCAAATACAAATTCATAAAAGAAATTCTAATTAAGTCTATCACAAGCAAGCTGCAAAACGAGTACAAAAACAGTGACAAAACTACATTAAAGAGATATCGATGTCTGAATATTTAAGTAATCTTCTCTTTAAACTTATGAGATAAATTGTCTACCCCTAATGAAAATTTGCTTGTTTTCTTATTGTCTAGACATTCGACCTTTACTCATTGATGTCTTTATTCGAGTAATTTAAACAACGGCAAATGGTTGATCCATAAAAAAAGAAGAAGATAAGTAATTCTTAATCAATCACATTGATAAGAACCAGTTTTCACGATGAAACACCTTTTTTTAATTACTTAATTAGCATCATCGCCATACATTCATTTTTTTTTTTTTTTTTGATAACCCAGATTTCCTAACGCTCGCCGACAGAGCAAGGGTCCACGTGTTTGCACCGCTATCGGTTTCCCGACAGAGCAAGAGTCCACGTGTTTGCACCGCTATCGGTTCGCTCAGACTAGCCACGTGGGCGGCCAAATGGCTCTCCACGTGTCGGTTCCTGAAACGCTGCAGCCTGTATGTGAATACTGCAGTGGCCAGGAATCGAACCCAGGTGGCAGTACCTCCAGCTGGGGACCCTTTACCACTAGGAGACAACGCCTGGTTCCATACATTCATTTGACCTAGTAAAAGTCATAGTAATTAACTAGCATAAAACATAGAAATTATCTAGAGGATAAAATATACAACATTCAACGGGAGTATATTCTAATGTTTCGTTTATTTTGTGCTCCAAAGTTTCTCCTTAATAATAATAAAATAAATGCATACAAACGTATATGGAAAGATATGAAGATATTGTCTTGGATTTTTAATACTGTAAAAATTGTTTCAGTCAAATGATTGGTTTAAATTTATTTACGAAGGGACATTATTAAGGCTCTCTGACCCCTTCGCCTATTTGACTTGGTAAACAGATTAAAAATAATAATACAATTACTACAAGTCGTGTCTTCGTTGGTAAAAATTAAAAAATATCTCGCAAGTGTTATTACTCGTCTAGAAATTACTCCAATGTAAACTCTATATAAACCCTCGTTTCTAACCATAACACACACAACACTAAAGAGCTCAGAGACAACTAAGATAAAAAAAAAAATGAAGATGTTTAACTCTCTTCAAACCCTAGTACTATTGGCGTTAGCTCTTTTCCTAGCTTTTGTAGTTCCACTGAAAGCCCAAGACCAGCCAAAAGACTACCTCGCTGTACACAACCGTGCTCGAGACCACGTTGGTGTGCCTCATATAAAATGGCATGCGGGGGCGGCGCGATACGCCTGGAACTATGCTCAAATAAGAAAGCGGGACTGTCGTCTCAAACACTCAAACTCACGCGGGCGGTACGGTGAAAACTTGGCATGGAGCAGTGGTGATATGTCCGGAGCTGCCGCAGTGAGATTGTGGGTCAAAGAGAAGTCTGACTACTTCCACAAATCGAACACATGTCGTGCTGGAAAACAATGTGGTCATTATACTCAGGTTGTGTGGAAAAACTCGAAGTGGGTTGGGTGTGCCAAAGTCAAGTGTGACAATGGTGGAACCTTTGTGACTTGCAACTATTTTCCTCCTGGTAATATTAGGGGCCGTTGGCCTTACTAAGTGTATGTGTACGCTGACGAATAAAACTTGTCCACAGTGTGTGTTTCTATAATTTCAATAAATGAATATCACCATCTATCTGGATGTGGTGGTCCCTTTGTATGTTTATGGTTTGTATAATATCTTGTGATGGAGTAATACATTTTTCGTGTGCTTAAAATTGTAATTAATAATAATGTGAGTTATTACTATTTCCCTTATTATGGGATAGTGGGCTAGCTTAGATCCTATATACCATGGGGGTTTTAACTTAATTTTCAACGAGTCTCATGCCATTCAGATTAAATTTTCAGATAGAGTGGATGAAACACCGGATATATTTGTAAACCATCAACAATAGCTAACTATGATTGAAACAGCGAATAAGAAGGCACGAACCGTGATCTCTTATTTACATGATGAATTTTAACCACTAGACCAACATAAATTGTTTTTTCATACCACCAGGTTTAGGGGTTCAATCATAGTCTTCTTGTAGTATATGTTATTACGTTAACTTTATGATCAGAGATGGCTAAAATTCAGAAACATTTGAAAAGTATATCTTTGATATATATATATATATATATATATATATATATATATATATTTTAACTCGTGACGAATTTGTGTCAAAGTGATCTTCGCATATGTGATGAAGAAAATTATATTTTTGGTTCAAGTGGTGTTTGAAATGTCAGAAATTGGCATTCAAAACAATCCCAACCCAGTTTGTATCATAAGAGCATCTTCAACGAAGGTTTCTCAAAGAATGTCTAAAGAATTAAAAAAAATATATAATTAAAAGTAATAGAGAGAATGAGACACAGTGTCTCATTTGAGAAACTTTGAGACACTATGTCTAACACTTGGCATCATTTGATTGGTTAAAGTTTTTTTTATTAATTAAAATTTAAATAAATAATTTAGTTATTACAAAATCATTAAATTATTATATTTGAGAAACTTTTATAGTTTTCCCCGTTGGATGCTCTAACAAAAGAAAAAAACAAATAGTGAAACGAGAAAGCTAGCAAATATTTTGCGTGTGCAGCTCGACGAGGGCCACGCATGTAGAACCTTAGCCTGTCGTCTCCCAAAAATATTGCACCTGCCTTTTTTTTTTTTTTTTTTTTTTTTTTTTTTTCTTTTT